CTCAATATAGGCGATAAATGCCCAATTACCGCGTGTGGGCCAGGCACGTACACTTAATACATAGTAGACCGACGCCGGCTCGAGCTCGGGGGGACTGTACCTGAGCTGTGAGCAAGCTGAGATCCGAGCCAGACCCTGACTGAGTCGGGGTCGAGGGCATAAAATCACTCGGGAGGTTATTTCGAGCGTCAAGATCATGACATAACATGACAACGATATTCGGGATTTCGGATAGATCAGCTGATATCACAGTTGAACGACAACGTCAAAGCCTTACGTCCATGATGGAGATCGCGATTCATGAGCGTCTGCGAATCCGGGAATTATTCATAGCTGTAAGAGCTTCAATCAATTAGGGCTCGGGTGCGAAGTGCTATCCCGAATAATAGGCTATTTCTCCTACGCCTCTGTCGTCCGTTCATACGCTCGCTCGCTCTCTCACTCACTCAGCCGCTTCCCGCCCGCCGGCCTGCACGCTCCCTCCGTCCCTCCCTGCCTCGTCCGCTCGTTTGGTCGCTTGATGTCTATATCATGACCCGTCGTCGTTCCCCTCGCCGCGCCGGCCCTGGACGCTCAGTCAGAGCCGTGATCGGGAGCCAGGCGATACGTGTTCATTCTCTCAATGGTCTCAAATCTCCCGACTACAACATCGCGCTATGATATCGTAATTTCATACTCCGTACCTCTCGCGCCCTTTCACGCTACGCCTGTCCCCTGTTACACAATTTGGAGCCGGCGCCAGCGGTGCCACTCTTGGACAGGTATTGTATCAAGCGGACCATGGAAAAATCTCTCGATTCCCTGAGCCCTCGTCGCGGCCATCGAATGCGCGGCCTCATCTTCTCCCTAAGATACAATTATTGAATTAGATAGGTAGGTGATGACGGCGTGACGGAAAAAAAATTCAAGAAAACCTAAAATCATCTCGGTCGTTTCGTTCCTCCGTCGCGTTTTGTTCAGGGTCGAGGCTCGCCAAGAAACCCACTTTCTCACACGTAAACGCGTCTAGAACATCTTGTCTACATAATATTTACGTCCTCCGGGGTCGTTTTCCGACCAGTGACGGAGCAGCGGGGCTCGTCGGAACATTTCACCAAACTGCGATCGGGCGTACGAATTGTGACTTGTGACCGACCGAGAGCGCACTCTGGATTGGTCGACGCCCGATCTCTCATATCGGTAGCTGTAGCTCTGTAGCTGATAGTTGTTTAGAGTCGATTCTGATAGGCTCCAATCAGATCGATATCGAGTTATCACGTTCGATCGGGCGCTTCACCGCCGTCGTGATTATCGTCGATGTCACAGACAAACGGTCGGGTGGCCACGCGAACAGGGGTCCGGTGCGAACAGAGCTTGGTCTACTAAATGTGTGTCTGATAGTGTATAAGCGCTCGATAGTTAGTGCAATGGTCGCTGTTCTCATCGCTTATACGGCAGCCACCACTCGGTTATTGTAGTCTCCATTAAGAACGACGCGGGTTTGATTCGATTGCCTATGGGAAGGAAGGGGGGCGAGTCCGAGTGGCAACAGCAGCACCGTGCCGCGTGGCAAGCAATGCTGCTGTCGGGGTGTGTAGTAGAGAAAAGAGGCGATGATGTTCTCCCAACGACGATGGAAGACATTGCCCAACGATAATGACAGCAAGATCAGCTGATTTCCCCTGGATGTGACAAAGAGGAATGCCCGCCGGCGGCTGAGTGGAGAGTCGTCTTCTCGGGGAAACTATTCGCCGCTCTCCGACTATCCCTCCCCCCAACACACAGGCGGGCACGCACCGATTGAGGGAATCAAGGGAGGAAGAATGGCTGGTCAGGATGGGCAGTAGTGGTTACCGGGTCAATGATCGCCACTCAGTCTCACGCTCCATTCGATTCTAGCGAGATACGAACCAGCGTACTCGAATCGCCGGTAGTTATCAGCGGTCACGCGATCTGTGTCTACAAGATCCTCAATCAGATTCACGGATGGATGGGGGTTTGTTCGAATCAATTCATCACAGATTGAGCACTCTGGAGAAAAATAGGCGAAATTCAATAGATCGAAGGCTTCCATCTAGATCAACATCTCCCTGGACTCGGTCCAGGTCAGCAGTACGGACATGAGCTCATTTCATCACTGAATGGTGCGGTGGAGTCTAAAGCGGTTTTTAGCGAGACGCTCGCGCAGCACAGGTAGAGGGAGCGATTCTCCCAACAGATGGGTGCACTCGCTCATAGCTCGAGCTGAGTGAGAGATGCGCATAAAGATAGACGTGATATGATGCGTGTTCCTGATAAAATAATTTAACTCAACGACTTAATGAGTTGCACACGGCAGTCGAAGCATCTAGTCGTGATGTACGGCCTCGGAGAGATGCTTATTACCGGGGCGAGCGGGACTGACACGGCCAACAAGGGAAAGTCGCTCTTCAGGGAGGGGAGCGCTTCGAGAGAATGAGCCGTACACCCGCAGCCAATTTGGCATACGTGCGGCAAGTTGCCGATTTTTATTCTGCATCAGATCCGAGTTCCACGGTAATGCGCAGATACATCGTCACCCACAGTGTACGAGGATTTCGCGACGAGATGGGCTCGAGAAACGATCGTAGCACGTCGACAACGTGCCATAAGTCGTAAGGAACCATTCATCGACACCGTGGATTGCTCCGATTGACGCAATCCAGAGACGTGGAGGAGACCGAGGATCACCGAATCCTTGCGAGAGTCCTTTTCGAGGCAAGCCTGGATCGGGAAGATGAATCTGAGGATAGAGCGGGCGACCGAAGTTCCGAGCCTCGGGTAAACGTTTTCCGACCAGATCGTTTGTTTATGAAAGTACCTAATTTTTTCTTCATCTAGTGAACAAAATGGATTTTGAATTAGTTCGTGAAACTTTTTTGAGCAGAGCGTGGATTAATAACTCAGAGTCTACCGAAACTTTGCCCCGCTCACGTTCACTTGACCGAGCACTACTTCGGAACAAAGGCGTGGAATCCTTCGCCGGCCCTGCATTGCGGTCCAGCCCATTGCGAGCTGGCGCGAATTATAAGCTATCTTATAGAATCGGCAGATTATAAGTTGTAGCACATTTTCCTTAGGAGAATCCCGCGAGAAACTGTTGCCGTTGATGACTTGCTCGATATGAAGCAAACTGCTAGCTGTGACCGACCGACAGTTCGTCCGCCCGCGCGCTTGCTCATCCAAGCGACCGGGTGAACGAGCGTGCGATCGAACGAACGAATGAACAGCGGTGTCTAGGCTGCTATAAGGTCTTTTAGACGTCTGATAGAGCCAACCAGCTATTGGCGAGCCTATCAGCAAGGGCTATCGGAAAGCCATGCTATAAACGAGACTTATCTAGAAGCTATCAAACTTATAATGAGCGCTCCTCAGTTACAGTTTGTCATCAGTTCGGGTAGCGACCGACTGAGTGAGTGTGCAAGAGAGCGAGCGACCGAGCAAGCGTCACATTGAGCGAGGAATCCGCTCCTACTCAAAATTTCGAGCCGCTATTCCTCCGTTTTATGGCGTTTATCGGGCGCATTAGTGGCCCTGGCTCGCTCTTTGCCTAAAGTTCACGCTTCGCACCGATCCGAATAAAGAGATCTCAACTGGCATCGATTCACCTCTTGATGAACGTCTCGTAGGTGGCTGCGCATGAATAAATCAGAGTCCGGCAGTCGATTCGGTGCTCCCGATGTCCAGAGCTATTGACTGTTTGGGTCTCGGAGAGTCTTCTCACGCGCCGCTCATAGCTTTTCGTATGCTCCGTTGACCATCACTTCATGCCGGGGGCAAATGATTGGCAGGCCGAACAGCCAGCCATTCATTCAGCCAATGACTGTTGCAATCAGTGTTGGCTCGGAATCCCATTCGCGTCGTTTTGCCGTCAAATGCGTTCTGTCGTTGACAATCCCCATTGGTCAGGACAAGACGAACAAGAATGCTACATTCAACCCTAGGACGCATCGTGACATGTCCGGCGACGCATCGGTCACTCAGCGTGGAACCTTCTCACGTCAAGGGCAACATGGCTCATCGACCGCGGTTCCCCTCAGGGCTCGGAATTGGGAAAGAAAACACGGCAGTCGTCGGGAAGTTCCGGAAAAAGCGGGAAGCGAATCTCGGAGGAATGGTCCCCCTTCGGAATGGGGAATCCGAGCCCGAGAGCAATGAGAGAAGGCGAAAGCATAGGAAAGGATGAGGGGGTGTTTTTAAATGGCAAATCGAGTCAGTCGTCAATCCGGCCGGGCAGGCTTGCTGGCTCACGGGCCAGCTTGCGGCATGTTGGATAAGGGCATAAAATCGCCATAAACTTTTGCCTGATGGGGATATAAGGAGGAGCTGTGGGGATCTGTCTGGGCGAGTAGTCGTCATGGTCGTCATCGTCTCGAAGAGAGAGCGTCAAGGTATTGCAGGAGAATGAGTTGAGCTGCAGCGGCGGCTAGGAGAACCCACGAAGAAGTTACCGGGAGGACCATAGGAGTGATGACGAAGCAAATAAATGACGACGAAAGTATCTGCACCAATGATGATGATGGCGACGACAACAACGATGGCGATGATACACCTACCTCGGGCAATCCATCTCAGTTTATTACGCCGCTGTTTCCCCTGGCTCGAAGCCACGGGACCGACTCTCGACCAGCTTCAATTTGTGATCGCCACCGCCTTGGGTGGCCATCCAAACACAGTGCGGGGGACAGACAGAGGAACGGACAGATAGACAGACAGACGGATAGATAGACCGAGAGTCGGTGGGCATGATTTTACGATTTCCGATCACAGGGGTACCGAGTCAGTGACTCACTTGTTATTATTGCGCCGACTCGGCTAAGAACAGTCGCTGAAAGCTTCAATGAATCCTTACTTAGCCAAGCTCGGATGGGTCTCGCCCATCATCTGATCGACGTCCTTGAAGTGGCAGAGCAACTCGAACGATACTCGATCGGCCTGGTAATTCCAATCCCGTGATGGGACATCGATACACTCTCCTTCAATCCTGTCATTTCTCTTTCCAGGTGAAAATCTGGTTTCAGAACAGACGCACGAAATGGAAGAAGCAAGACGGTATCTCGAATGCAGAAGCAGCCGAACTCAAGATGGGAGAAAAGGCGAAGAGCAAGCTCCAGGCGCAGGCAGCTAAACAAGCGGCCGCTGCAGCCGCCCAGAAGGCATCGGCACTTTCGGCTCTTTCAGCCCAGGTTTCGGCTCAACTATCGGCCGGAACCGTTCCGCCGCCCGCACACCATCATCAGCTGCAACACCTTCATCAGCTCGCCGCCCTTTCGTCCGCAGCAGCAGCAGCGGCTTCATCCGCAGAATTGTCAGCTTTCAGTAGTCCCGCCGATCTCGCCGGACGTGCTCCCCCACCCCCTCCGCCGGAGCTCCGACTTAGGTGAGTCTTCCCGTACGGCGCGGTGATTCGATCAGATTCCCATTCACCGACCCTAGCTCGCTCCCGACCACAGGTCCGAGTCGCTCGATATGGAAATCCGGATTGGCAGAGTATCTGAGTGACATCTTCTCTCTGTATTTCCAGGCAGATCGAACTTTCGAGTCTAGCAAGCTTTCACGGCCATTTGCTCGAGCCGTCTCGAAGTCCGTGTCGAAGTCCTCTGACGTCAGCTGAAAACATCTCCAAGTGCCTGCAGGTGTCCGATCGGCTCACCAGTCCATCTACCCTTCACCTGCGCACTCACGACCATTCGGACGATGACGATGACGACGAGGAGATCGATCCGTGCGGGAGCTAACTATCTGTTTCGTTGGTAACTGTATAGAGAAATTTTGAGCGAGAAGCACCGATTCCACCGCGAAAACGCGAGCCATACTTGTATAATTTCTCTCTGTCTCTCTCTAATCAAGCCGATCAAGAGAAAAGCCCCAAACTAGTCAACACTCACAGAAGATGATGTTTTCTCTTCTGAACCGTCGAACGAATCTCATTACGTCACTGTTTGATGTTCTCCGGCTTTGTTTCACTCTGAAAATCCACGGCTCAGAGGATTGATCTAATCTACTCGAAATTTTAGCCTCCACACTTGTATATAGATTACTCACGATGATATTATCTACATGATGATAAATTAAACGGAATGGATCAAGAACGCAGCGGGTAAATCACATACATGAATACTCCCCCACAATGCGATGGATTCACCGAGGAGTCCGTCGGCGTGAGTGGAAGTCGAAGAGAATACTCGTGTACGTTTGAGTGATGGAATCTCTTTGGGACGGTTCCGGAAACTTTGTATAGAATGCTGAACAGCTTCGTGATTATGATGGTGGATGATTTCACTGATTGACTGTCTGATTGATTTTTTGAGCGCTTGAGGAACCCAAATGAATCAAGAGGAAATAGACTGGAGAATGGTTTAATAAATAATGTGATAACACTGAACCGCGTTTTTATGAGAGATTCTGCGGCAAGCTCTGATGCCGAGACTCGAAATTCCCTCGTCGATTCCGAGAATTCAAGTGACCATTGAACCACCAACAAGTGAAGGCGAACGCCGTGGACGAATTCTAGCCGTGAGTCGAGGGTGAGAGTGACTCGCGGATCCAGATGCCAAGGATTGGCGTATTGGCGTTGGATACGTATTGATAATCTGATGATTTTGTTTCAAGAAGGGGATGTAGCTCAGATGGTAGAGCGCTCGCTTAGCATGCGAGAGGTACTGGGATCGATACCCAGCATCTCCAATTTATTTTCCTTTTGCTTGCAACGCCGAGCACCCCCGAGATCTGTGGCGTGAACAACACCCCATCCCTGCCTGAGCCAAGAATGACCCAACAATGAGGGTCTTGCCCGAGCGCCATGGTATGGAAACATATGGTCAGTGTCTCGAGCCACGATTTTGCTCTGTACGGAATGAGCCAAATCAGAAAAACCGGGCCGCGCCGTCGCTGTCCGGAGCTAAGCTGACCGACGTCTGTTTTCGGACTCGCGACGAAACGACCGACCCTGCGGCTGCTAATGGTCGCCGGGGAAACGTAGTTGGTACTGTCTTCGCTCGTTACGAATACATGCTCCACTGACTGACCGAATGGCTGGTGGGGACGGGCAGCTCACTCATCTGGGGTCGCTTGTTGCCTGATCGCTTCATGAGCCTTCTTCACGGCTCTCTCGCGGGCTCAATAGATCGGCAATTAGACCCCAATCAGAGGAAGCACCTAGAACTTTGATCATCGCACCGTTTCGCGGCCGTGCTGGCGACGACACAGAGCAGAAACTCCGGTATCACAGATACGCATGCGTCTTTTCGGATTCGGATCCCGGGAAAGAGAAGTAATACATTTTGCTTACTCGGAACTGCATGAATATCCAGAGTCGATTTCGTCCCTGCAGACAGTGGTATGCCTCGTTCGGCTGAGGTTTTTTCTTTATTCCCTCGGAAAGCTTTGCTGATGGCAGAGGAAGTTTTTCGCGGAGGAAAAAAAGCTCATCGATACAAGTAGCGAAGATTCCCGCCATTCTGTGCCTTCTACTCCGCGGAGCTGACTCCGGAACGCCGGACGATACCGCGTGTCGAGAAAAGCATCCACGTCACTTGGGTATTTGGAGTATGCTGCACGCGTCGGTATGCTTGACTACTCCCCCAGCCGCTGTCGAAATGTCGGAGAGTCGCTGAGAGCAGAAACAGCGAGTGGACGACACAAACAAAAGTGGCAATCCTGGAAATAGGTCCAACAGCAGGATACATGACAGTCGGGCCTTACGAGCGGATAACATTCTTTCTGAGATGACCTCACTACTGATAGAGGGGCAGCGTTAGGGAAATGGCAAGCGGAGTCGATCTACAGCTGCAGGAATCTCCGCTACAATGGACTCCAATTCCGGATTTTTCACATTCCCCGGCCTCGACAGGATGATCCCGACAAACAAGTCTGGAGAGAGGGGATCGATGTTTTCAGAGTCCGACGCAGAACAACATCTCGGGAAAATGCCCTTTTGCCCCTCACTCGACAGAACGACGCCGCCAGCAGTTTTCGACGGCAATTCGCCCGATAGGAGTCAATCGTCCGGATACTACTAGGCGAAGATTTCCTCAGTCAGGGTATCTCGCTGTGAAAGTCTTTCCGATCGAGGGAATCTCTCCGCATCGTTCCGATAACGAATGTTCAAGAATATGGAGGGACTTTCGTTTTGTGGGCCTGGGTTAAGAGATTTACGGTGACGACTGAAAGAAATTTTTCGAATGACCACCTGCCGCGATTGTATCAATGAGCGTTGGATACGGTAATCAATGGGATCGTTTTGATAACATCTCTCGCTTCAATATACAGCGCTACCTGGTACCGAGTCGTGGATCGCCGCGACAAACGGCATCAACGAATTCTTCGGGGAAACACTACCGAATCGGACGGCAGCGGACCGGAGAAGCGTGATTATTTCATGATTTCGTCACATAGCGAGCAGAATACGCTCTCCCTGTGGGTGAAACCTCCTTCGGGTTAAAACGGTGCGGCGTGTTCCGCGGCCGTCCTTCGGCCACAGGCCGATTGCGGGATGGACCCTACATTCAGTCCATGGAAGTATGCTCTCTGCGACCGAGCCAGCTCGAGGGGAGGATCCGGGTCCGAGGAGGGTCTCGGTGGACTCCCAGATCAGAATCAAGGTCCTGTAACCGCGCAGCATTTGTCGGTGTCCACATAGTTCCAGATTCTTGATCCTCGCAGCGATTTCGGGAGTCAGATGAGTCGGAAGTCGGAAGCGATGTTCGAACTGCCTCCCCCCCGTAACATGCAGGCCTCACTCGCGTTGAGGGCACAAAGAATTTTCCGGCCGTCCTATAGTGGGGAACACTTCCTCACAGCATCGAGACGGCCCCGACGCGTAATCCATCTCGGACTGGCGATTAGTGATAATTATCACTAATAATCACAATCACTGATCGACCGTCCATCTCACGAGGGATGGACGGAGGATGGATGGATGGATGGAGAGGATTACTAGAGACGCTGACCCCGACAAGACTGGTCTACCCGAGCCTCTGTCGAATTCGTACCGAATCCCGATCGGCGACTTCGTCTGCAGACGATGCACTGCAGGATTGAAGTTCTGAAGGACTTCTGATATTATTCCCAGGACTCCCGAAAATGAGACAGCGGGTTTTATCGATGTTCGAAGCACACGAATCGCTCATCAAAAATGATTGAGGAGCTCTTGAATTGGATTCGTTTAGATTTCTTCGAAACGTACATTTACTGCGTTTATATAGGTACTCTTGTCTTATACCCCTGAATATCCTTCCCCCGGCACCCCCCTCGAGGGGTGAGCTGTACTTGACCGATCTCGTTCGCCCAGGTTTTCGGAGTTGCCTTCGTCCTTCGAGGGGCCGCTTGGGTGGTGTCTGGCGGGAGTCTGATTCGGAACGGGAACTCCTCCGACGAGATTGAGACCTCCTCGCTATCCGGGACTGAGTTCCCGAAAACCACAAAAAAACAGAAGGAATGGTTGTCTGCTTCTTGCTTCGCCTCCGCGAAGAAGCTCGCGGATGGTGATACTTGATTAGGCGTACCCAAGCAGAGGCATCAACCCGACCGACATGAGATCAGGCCTCTATCGCATATCTTAGCCCACGTCGCGCCAATCGGATACTAGTCGCCGAAAGTGGAACCGAGTGAAAGAATGATACAGTTCTCTCCGCTCGCCCTCTTCGTTTTCACCCTTTATTATGCCCCGATGCCGAGAACAGCAAAGCAGGAAGAACGTTGCACGGAACATTTTAAACTCTATATAAATAATTCACAGAAGCATGATGTCCAGGGCTTGACTTGCCGACCCTGATTGACTCGCTCGGTACAGACTCATCATAGCCATCATTCGCAGCAGCACAAGAAAATAAAAGAAATTTATGCCGATCCTGGGAGCGTTGATGTCTTCGAAAACACTTGTCGGGTAATGAGTCACGAGCACTTGAACGGAAATTGACGAGGCGACGTATTTACATTATTTACATATGGCAGTTGACTCCGTTTTGGCCCCCGAACAAGTGCACTGCTGGCAGACATTGAGACTGAATTCGATCCTGATCCAGTCTCAACGGATTACCCATACCATCGAATTCAAGCTTCCTTCAGGGAGGTTCCGAGTGTAATGCGAGGGAGCGGGTTCTTAATCCCGGACCTCCGGGTAACTATGCAGGGCAGTTCTCGTTCATTTCCTCGTGCAGGTGTTGCGGTTTCCACGAAGACATCTGCCAAGATTAGTGATGTAGATGGTGTCTGCGGGACAATTGTGTACGAAGCCTTTGAGTCCGTTCTTTCCGGGTGCGCAGACGACGAATTTCGTGCAGTCGTTGGGGTGGATGAAAACACCTCGTTTGTTACAGTCGACCGTGTCCTTATCGATGACGATCAGAGCCGGCGCGTAAGGATCGTTTGTTGGTTCTTCGGTTACCACTGGTCTTCTAGAAGGGCGCGGCGTAGTTATGACGACCGCCCTTCTGGGAGAAGTTGGAGGATCTGGTCTATACGTCGATTGTGGTCGGTATGTGACGGCGACGTAAGGTCTAGCCGTCGTGAAGGCCACGGTCGCTCTCTGGGTCTGGGGCGGCACCGTCGGCCTAGAAGTTGGGGCAGGGGTGACGTCATCGTAATAGTCATAGTAGTAATCGTCATCGTCTTCCAGGGGTGGGGGTAGGGCGGTCGTGGTTCTCACCGCGACGGTGGTCGGGACTGTCCTCGGGGCGGTGAACGCAGCGGTATTCGACTCCGAAGTCTTCCTGCGTCTGACGTTTCGGCCTTCGTCATGACCGGAGCTCGGGTCCGGAACTAGAGTATCGAGAAGTACGGCCTGCGAGGGATTGGTTTGCGACCGCTGAGGAGAATCGTACTGGAATTGATTTTGCTGAGAGACCCGCTGAGGTGCGTCATAGTTGAAGCTCGTCGACGAGGTGTGCTGAGGTACGTCGTAATTGAAGTTGGAATGAGTATCTTGGGGTACTCTCCGTTGTGGTGCCTCGTAGTTGAACGCTGCGGCTTGCGGGGTTCGCGCTGGCGTCTGGTACTCGAATTGCGGCGATGCTTGACGGGGAAGAGTGTTTTGAGGAGGAGTCACGTCCCGTCTATCATCGAAGGGCGCAGTAGATCGTTGCGGAGGATCGTTGTAGGTGAAAGTGTTCTCTCGAGGTCTCGTCTCCCGCGGTGGTGGATCGTTGTAGGTGAAAGTAGGCGGAGGAGGCCTCGACGTGTCTCGTTGGGGAGTCTGGTATTCGAATTGGATCGGTTGTCGATTCACGCTGCGCTCGTCCGCAGCAAATGGCGGAGGCGGTCTCGATTGACGCTGATGCGGCTCGTCGAACGGCGATTCCGTCGTCGCGCGTCTGGAGGTCGACGAAGTCCTATCTGGGCTATTGTACAAAAACGCCGAGTTCGTGGATTTCGGAGAGTCCTTGGGATCGGCCCGATTCCGAGCTTCGGAGAACGCGAACGATGGCAGGGGTTCATCGAAGACGAACTCAGGCTCATCGTTCCTCGGTGCAGGAGCTTCAGTCGACGGGGTAGGCGCCGGTTTCTCCTCGGGGAGGTTCCTGGCACTTCCCTCGGAGAAGCCGAAAGCCGGTACCCCGCCAAGATCGAAACGGTCCTCGTTGTAAGGTGCACGGGCGAGCGGGTTGTCGAGCTGCGGCTTCCTCTTCTTCTTGCGATTCGAAGGATCTTCAGGGTTCTGGGGCGGGGCGCTCACTTGGCCATCGGATTCGCGACGAGGTTGCCTGTGGTTTTCAGCCAGGGGGCGATCCTTAGGATCGACGTAGCTGAACTGGAATGGACTGATCGCGTCTTCAGGTGGAGGCTGTGCTTGGCGGATGGGCGCCACGTAGACGTTCAGATTCGCGTCGGGCTGCGTCTGGCGACCCGATGGGTTGGCGTACTGTTGGAAGAGAGGGACGGGCTCCTGGTAATGAGCTTGCGCGGGTCTTCGGATGTTGGTTCCGGGCTCGACAGGTGTCTGCTGGGGATCGATGAAAGCTTGTGCTTGGAGGTTAGACTGGGTCTGGAAGCCGACCTGCGGCGGAAGTCCCCGGACTTGACTGGCTTGGGCGGGAGGAGGGGGCGTTCCATCGTTTCTGTTGTCTGGAAACCGAGAGAGAAGGGAAATTGTAATGACGTCCTATTGCACTCTCTAAGCTCTCGGGAAAAAAAATGGAGCAATGTCTTTCCCTCAGCTATTTCATATTTCTCCATCAAAATCCTCTCGAGTCAATCACGAGAGGAAGTCCATGCGGTTCGAATACCTTTCAGATGGTCCTTGAGGAGCTTCACCAGTTCTGCGATGCTGTCGTCCTTTTTGGGTTCCTGTTTCCTCTGCTGCCTCCGGGTTCCGCTCGAGGGTTTCTCGGTTGGTTCGAGAGTTTGTTCGACCTCTTCGTAGTCCTCGTCATCGTCAATTGGCGCGGGGGTCGTTGTGGTTAATTTTCTCTGGTTAGTTCTACGCTTCGTGGAGAACGCCTTAGTTGTGGCACTGGGAGCTGGAGTAGTACTTGTGGGTGAGGTGGAAGTAGTAGTTGTGGTCCGGAGGGTGGTTCGGGACGACGTGCTGCACGGGAGAGAGAATAAGGGTTATGAAGTCGGGGTGGGACGGTTATTGATTCGGGGAAAATGACGGATGGAAATCAATCTGGATAGCATGGTCGATCAAATTCGGCTGCAAATAGTTTGGAAGCCGAGGCATTATCGAGTTGACTCGGGCCCCGATCTGAATACTCTCGAATCAAGTGGGAACATTCTCCTGTGATTCTCAGGGTTCCCAATGAAGCTCGATGAAGATCTCATTCCCTACCGAGACTTTGAACGCCTGCTCGATGGTTTCGCCGTCGTTGTGGTTTCTTCCTCCTCAGGCTCGGCGGTCGTGGTGGTAGTCTTCGATTTACTTTTTGACTTCTTTTTGCTCTTGTCCCCTTTGCATTTGACCCTTTCCTTGAAATCGCACGACTCTGTCTTGGGGTTGAAATGGAGATTGCTCGGGCAAGTGAAAGTGTGGGCCACGATCCCCAAATCAGCGGGACCAGAGTCCAAACACCAGAAATATTTCCTGCAATCCTTTTCGTTCGGGAAGAATCCTTCGTCCTCGCATTCGAATGGCATTCCAGGATCGGGGGTCGTTGGTGGTTCTGGGGTCGTGAACAGAAGGCCAGTTTCTGAAAGACATATTCCTTATGTTGAAAACTCGTCGGCTGTGTCTATCGTTCAATTTCTAGTTTGCACTGGGAGACATGATTTTCCATCACCTTTCGGAGCTTTGGTCGTCGTGACTGCCGTCTTTGTCTTGGTTCGACTGCTTCTGGAAGATTCTTTTTTCTCTTCTGGAGCGCTGGCGATCCTCGGTCGCACTGAGGAGCTCTCAGCTTCGAGAAGGTGCTCCCGCAGTGCACTGATCAGGGGCGACTCCCCTCCTCCACAAGAGCCTCTAAAATCGTCGTTGTCCAGAGTCCAGACCATGGCTCCACCCAAACCTGAACGGAGCACGAAGTAAGAGACAGGATTCGTCCGGGCGTCACCCTTAACGAAACTAGGAATTCAATTCCGTAGCGCGGACAATCTGATTTTCTCATCGTGAACTTCACTCTTAAGAGTCGTCAGAGGGGTATTCTGATGATTTTTATCGAGAGTCGAGGAACTCTTGCCTTTCTCCTTGATGTACTTGACTTTGTTCGCGATCATTATCTCATCGTCGAAACCGACCCATTGTGTTCCTTTGATGGCCATCGGACCCATGATGCCTTCGTGGGGTCGGATCAGTTCCCAACCTTTCTCATTGACTGCCTGACAGATCTGGAAGCAGGTTGTCGGCTCATGACAGTCACTATTCTATAGTATTGATTTTGTGCCGTCACTATGCGCCCGCGATGAATAGTCTCTGGGGGTACTCGGAAAGCTTTCGCGGACTTTTCATGAATTTTTGCTCTAACGAAGAGTTTCCGAAGTTTTCATACAACTCTACCTCATAGTACGCGAGATAGCCCTTCTCTCGGGTGGCTTCGCCCTGCTCCCCGGGTCCGTCCGCCGGTGCGTCGAGATCGGCATCATCGACATTTGTCAACGTGTACGATCTACCATAAGTCGGAATGCCCAGAATCAGTTTTTTCGCCGGGGCGCCTTTCTTCAAGTAATAGTTCACCGTCCAATCGACATTCAAGGTATTCTCGTCGTCCCACTCCTTCACGTCGCTCCGGGCTTTGAGGGGAGCGTGGTGATTGGTCGTAGGCTCAAACGCCGTGTGATAGTCGTAAGTGAGCACGTTCAAGAAGTCCGCGTATTTCGAAATTGTCTGCACATCGAAACCTTGGTCGATGTAATCTTTTCCTGCCGGTACAGCGACCGATAGAAGGAGGCGTTCTTTTCCATTCGTTTTTTCGGCATCGAACGCTTCCCTGAGCTCCTTGATGAGCAGAGCGTAGCCTTCACGATCTTCGGGTCTTCCCCCATCTCTGAATGTCGGATACTCCCAATCGAGATCGAGACCGTCAAATCCATGAGTCCGGCAGAACTTGACTGCACTCCGCACGAAAGCCTGACGATTTCCTTCGTCTTCCACCATCTCGGTGAAACGCTTCGAGCCCTCATTCCAACCACCGACTGCTACCATGGTCTTGAGCGCGGGGTTGTATTGTTTTAAACCAACGAACTTTTTGTAGTTTCCCTGCTCTATGTCGTTGTACGGGTCGAACGGCTTCAACTCCCACTTCTTGTTGAAACCGGCGAAAGCGTAGATGAGATGGGAACACAGGAACGGATTGATGTTTTGCGGAGTGAATTTCGCAAGACCGGGTCGGTAGACCGCCCAATTCGAATAGTAGCAGACCATCTTGATGTCTGTGAGAACATTGTCGCGAGAGAATTCTGTTCTCTTCGATGGCGAACGCTCGGAAGACGCCTTCGGCTGAAGTGAAGTCGTAGGTCGCTTGATAATCCCTGAAATAGATGCGGTTCAAGTTATCCAGATATCGTGCGCAAATGTTCAGCGTTTGTAGATGAATACGATCAATCACCGCGGTTTTTCGTTAGAACCAGTCCAATGGATGCTTGTCAGTCGCGTGCATTTAGAAGCAACATGTCGATTAGCTCATTCAGAAAACACTTCCTCAATAGAATAGCGCCACGCTCTTCGTCTGACAGGCGCGTTGGCATTTTAGCGAAAAAAACAACACGATCGACCAACATAACGGGTGGCCAGCTGTTTGCCAAAACTGTGTGTTTAGATAGAGGTCTGCTTCTATTTTCCTTCGCCCGATAACTGTGTGGTCGCTATTCCTCGATTCTTCTTCCTTATTTCGTCTTCTTGTGGACGATGAATTAAACACCTCACTTAACGGCTACTCGGCGCGAAACCGTGCGATGCGGTTCGAGTACCGTTCCATCGACGGTGAACATCTACTCTCCCTTCGCGGGCACGCTCCGCCAAGCTCGCTTCTGGCTAACTATCTGAGGTGTGAAGCTCTGCTGTTTTTCGTGTCTTTTCACTTCGACAATGTCCATCTTGCTACTGCCGGCACACCACATAGACGTATGGCACACTCTGGCGTCACTCTGGCGGCCGTGACATCTGCCAAAGCGCGTCAGAGGACTAAATGCCGACGATTCCACTCAAGGGAAGAGATTCCCATCGTTTTCACACAGCCTTCCGTTATGACGCCATCGCTATCGTCATTTTTCTCCGTACGTTTCGGAAGCAACCTTGCCTCCACAGCCAGCTGTGGTCAGCGTTCACTGACAGCTCCGGTTTATCTCATCATTCAATGCGGAGCGGGAGAAATTTTTTTTTTGGGGTATCCTCGAGCAGAGCCCGGCGCTCGGAAATGCAGCCCAGCTATGCCGTCCGGGGATCGGATCGAAACATTCTTGACGTTCTCAGTTGAATTCACGATCTATCGGTTGTGGGAGGGGTGGTGCACTCGCGTCGGATTTCAGTGTAACGGTCTTGTCGACAGACTGAAGAACAACAACTATTCCGATGATGGTGATGGCTCCTACGACGCTCATTCAGATTGCACAACGCTTTCGTTTTCATGTGTTCTTCTTTTTCAGAGGCTCTGACCGATCGGCTCGCTGTTGATCACTGCGGTAACGTAAGGAGCACGGAAAGCCGATAATACTCACTAGCCGCTCCCAACAGTGACTGCATTCCGTCCGGTGGTAACGCTTAGTTTCATCTTCTCGGATCTTTCCCCTCCAGTCGTTCCAGAATGATGAATGAAACAATGAAAATTGTTGGAGCTGAGAGAGACGATAAAATTACGGGAAGCGATTCGAGTTCTTGGCTCTATTAAGAAGTGAGAAGAGACAAATCCCCGGAGCATCGCCGAAAAGCATTGTGGAATTCAGAAAAGAATTGATATTGTATCGAGAGCTGTAGCTATCTCGTTCCGTCCCAGTGCATCTCGGGTCCAGTGGCGAGCGGAGCGGGATGTCGCGACGTGGAAATGAAGAAACGCCTCCATCTCCACGGAGATGTCACTCTTGCTCTAGCACCATAAAGTCCTCAGTCGGACGCGCGACGACGAACATCGGGGTCTGGGAAGACAACGAACCCGTTGTACCGCTCAGCAAGAAGCGATGGCTTAATTTGTATATCTATCGTTTCCGTGAAGAGCCTTCCGTCGTCGATTTGACGTTTTGATAGATTTCGATGAACTTTCCACCGAGTTTTTTTCGGAGTCAGACATCCGCTTCGCAAAACGATTTTGCATATCAGATTATTGGTCTTGTTTGTTTCCGAATACTCATACGGTGGAGATGAATCTCCCGAGAATCAATTAACTAGCCAGACAACTTGCGCAGCTGATCGGATGCGTCAAAAATAATCCGAAAACAGCAAGACCGATTCCGAGAGTTTCTCAAGAGAGACGGACATTCGCAGCCTGCGCTCCCGCCGATGCTGTAGAGAACCCTCTCTGAATCGCTTGAGGGACTCGTTTTTATTCGATAAACATCATACAACATGCGTCGGCGCACTTATTCTATTTGCAGAACGGCATGATGAGCATGGATTTCTTAGGCAACGAGTCGTTGAAGAAAAGTACCGGTGTGGCAAGGGTTTGCCCAATGCGAGATCGGATCGAAAGATCTCCACCATCAGACGGATCCGACCGAGCGCACGTAAACAGACCGGACCATCGTCTCCGCAAAAGCCCAAAGAACCACCGTTTGTGGGTGCTGTCTTTTGTCCGCAACGCAATCACCCATACTGTCCTCATGACGAATTCGGTTTCAAAGCCCAAGTCTGCTTGGGCGAGTGACGCCCATCGGACCTGATCTGTCCATTTTCTCGATAACCGCCTACACGAAGAAGTACAGTGGCGTTGACAGGATTCTTCTTGAGGGGTAGGCTACATCGGGTCCTCACATGGGCTGATTTACAACATGGCGACCCGCTCCTATACCTTAGTATTACGAACTCTCAATCTCGGAGGGGGCTATAGCCCCCTAGTCTCCTCTCTGCGGACGCGCCTGAAGAAGTGTGCGTTTCGAGTCAGAAAAGAGTCGAGAAGTACTGTGAGAGCCCCGCTGCATTACTCTAGTTAGTTGACCGGAGATCTTCTGCGCCCGGAGCGTGAAACCGTCGGACTACTGCATACACCACCGGGGACGTGGGGCACGCGTGGTCTGACGAAGTCGTTGTCGGTTATCTTTGAAAGTCACTTAGACAGACGAATAGACAGACAGACGGGGACATCCACCGAATTCCCAGTGCAGCAGAACACAGGGTGTCCTTCACTACGTAACGGGCTGAGTCAAGGCTGCTGTGGATACGTTGGTGGGACTCCTACGAAGTTTCGTGGGATCTTTCGGATGTCCCGAGAGCTTGGAGTTATGACACGGGCTGGTTTCCACATTAGCAGACAGGGATGACTCGGGAGATCAAGAGGAAATATTCTTTGAGTAGAGTGGAACACTTTCAGAATCTCTTAGCGCGAGGGCTCATTCGTGGATCTATCGTCTCTGAATTTCAGAACTTTTTCCAGAGGGGGCGAGGACAGAGCCGTCACGATGGCAAGGAAGAAGATGCAAACGAAAGCGGCTCCCAGTGATTTTGCAGAGGGTCGCTGACTTTTGATCGGCTTGAACGAGCCCCTAATGTATCCATTTTCCAACACGTGTCGGTCTTCATCTGTGAAGCCCGTCCAGGAATGTTTCGATAATTCCGTTGTCCGTCGTGGGCGGAGGAGCCCCATCCAAATGATGCGGGATCGTCTCCGGTCACGGTCCGATGTTCGGAAGTTGTTGAATCTACTGTAAGACGTTCGGCCTGCTCATTGAACCCAGCCTTAGCCAGCGAGGCGCTTCGCTCATACAAATGACAGGAGAAAAACGAGCAGAACCGCGGAAGTCCAACACTGAGTCACTTGGCAACGTCAAAGAACAGACTAGCTCGACAGCTCGACACTGGCCAGCTGACAGAGCCCGCAAGGACCGCGTGTGGTCGGAGCGACGGGCGTTCGTACACCTGTGTGTTGTTGCGGTTCAATCGTGTCATTGACGAGACGTCTCTTTTGGTCAGTGCTTTCCCGGGGATTCCACAATTATCTCAGCCTGACTCCGAATTCGATTATTATGAAATTATTGAGAACCAATCCTGATTGATGGCTTCGATTTCTGGGTCCGTTCCTGCGGCCAGCCATCATCCCTCCACAGATGCGAAAGTCAGGTGACGGAAGCAGCCAGATCGGGAGCGAGATGAAGTTTTAAGCGAATTCCAGTCCATATGAGAATGTCTGTCAGTGGGTGGGCGTTCTCACGGCCTGACTGGGCTGGAGCGATTACCACGGACACGGCTTTTTCCGATCGGATGCATCTGACTTCAACTATTCCTGGCGGCAGTGAGCATGGTTGAACCATATATTGAGCATTGCTTAGAAAACTCCAAAACCGAAAACGAGACTTTCGCGCTGCATGAAGACAATCCTCAATTTAATCCGTGGTTTAGGCTCTTACTTAGTGGTGCTTCTAGTCAAAATACTAGACCTGTGAAATCTTGCACTTGCGTAAGCTCGCTTCTCACGATTCCCATTAGAGAACATCACGAGTAGAGCTGTCAAGCAGAAAGCGCAATTTGAACCGATTTTGAGAGCTGTCAAATATTTTCTAGCCAAGAAAAGTTCCTATTTTCACCAAAAGTCATCGGCTTGCATCGGTGGCGTGAAAGCGTGCGGAATGGCGAAATCTAGCCGATGAATTCTTTCGTTAGATGACGATTGACCTAACATATCCGATTGTCCAAAGTGAATGTTTTCCTATGCTCTCGTCGATCATATGTATTTGACTTGCACACGGCTTATCATTCTGTCGGGATTCTCAATGGGAGACTTACTCTGACCGTGCACGAGGCCGCTGCTCAGAGCGATTGCGAGGGCTGCCCAGCCCGTCACCTTCATCTGAAAAAACGAATCGATACAATGAAAATGCGCGTCAGGATTGAGAATGCCTCGTTTCCTGACGGGAGTACTTAACAATTCAGCGCCTAAGTTTCTTCTTCCTCATATCTAGCTCTTGGATCAGAATCCTCCGATCGGTAACAAGTGAGAGCCAATGATACTCAGAGCTATTGAGGGATTATGTTCTCTCGAAAGAGTACATGAAGCACCCGGTACAGGCCTCGTCCGAGCAAAGTCCGATCTTCGTCTCGTTTCTTCCGATCATAGGTGGTAAGTCAATTATTGCCGTCCCGTTCCGTACACCCGGAAAGCGATGAAGAGGAAAAATCTTGAAGAAAAGCCGAAAGTGTCGGGAATCGAAAGAGACGAACATAAAGTATCCGGGAAATTGGACGTGGCCGTTGCATCGTATCTCAGACGTTCTTTCGGGATTATCAGCTCGACGAAAACTGTGTGAGTTGCTTGAGTCGTTTTCGGCCCGTCATCTGTTCAATCGTCGACGGTGTTATCAATTGCCCATATTCGGTATCGACGATGGCATCACAAACTATATTCACAGTAGCTCCCAGCGAAAAGTCTCATTGTTAGAGTTTCTGCAGCGTCCAACTTCGGGAGGTCAAAGGTGCGCCAGACATTTCCCGCTACTTGAAAGGTGAATAAAGCGACGACGAGCAACGGAAGCGCTACCCTAGATCACCAGAGCGATCGAGAAGCGTTTCTGAGGAACAGAACGGAGCGGATAAGGTCCGGAGGATTATGGAAAATCGAGAGAATAAAAGAGAACCAGATGTTCGGACAGCGATGAACGAATTTCGATGTGTAGCGAAATTCGGCGGAAACCCGCCGACGCGAGTTCTGCTACCGGTCGACATTCATCCGTCCAGAAAGAGATCCCGGCTGGAACCCGACACGAGTCCGCCCGCCGCCCGGAAAGAACCAGGTGTGGAATCGGAAGATCGTTAAGAAACCAGTGGGCTTTCACTTCTGATTTTTGATTGCGTATTATGCGTGATGGCGCTTTTTCATTTGCGATTTGGTAAATAATAGATGGAAAGCTCCATGGGAACGTTTCTTGGCCACATCAAGATTTGCTCGAGAAGTACGCTTTCCGTAACAAATTCGCTCCTTTAGAATGAATAATGAGTATTTCGAGCAGTTCGACTGTGACATGAAAGAAGGCCTCGTGATCATGTAAGTGGCTGAATAGATTAAATAAACAGAGTGCAATGGCCCGAGGAAAGAGAATTTTGAGCATTTTCCACCAAGAAGCCTCCTGTTCTTCGCAGATTTCATACATACGGGGACGTCGCGACTTCCGCTCCGATACCGAACTGGTGTGAGAGGATTCGGGAACACTCCGAATACCTGAGAGAGCAAGACGTGGCGAGTCCCAAGAATAGAAAAGGTAATTGAATGATACGGAAAAAGGACGGAAGACCAAATCCTCCCATTGTCGCCCCCCGAAGCAGATGGCAAGACAAACAGACGAATGGACGCGCCAATTGGATTCGGGGGTCTGTTGGTCACGGCGGCTGAGCACATTGACGCACATTGTTCTCGGGTCACTCGCCTTGTACTGTTCCGACAATCCATCGACGGAGTATTGGTCGGACCAGCTCACCATGCAGATCGTTTCCACGGGTGGAAGTGGCGGCATTGTCCGAAAATATCACACCAGCTCTTCTCTGTTTGTCTTCGGATAATCCGTTATCCACTTTCGGGTAGATCGACCCAACGGTCTTCGGTTTCGGTCGGCGGGCCCGGACGGAGCGGCGATGATGCCGGTGTACGCAAATTTTAATGGTCCGAAAGCTGGCACCTTCGACGCTGCTAAACCGTCGGGAGAAGCCCCAGTCCGACACTCGATAAGAAGAAAAAGTTCCTCACAGCCAATCGAGCTTTGAACCCGGCTCTGAACCTGGCTCTGGCGCAGATTATACATACTACTGTGGTGAGCTGTGAGTTCCGGACATGATGTTCTGCCACGAGCTGCCCCACACTCCCAGAACGACCGAGGAGCCGCTCGCAAAGAAAAACAACGGGGCTGACCGCTGGCAACTCCCGGCCAGACATACGTGACACTGGCGGGGCTTAGTTCTGAACGGCCTGCGCCGCTTCCATTTTCAGTCTCTGGGTAGCGTTTTCGGGAGCGCTTATCCGATGTGACGAGCTGGCTGAGAAGCTGGCTCTTTTAATGGCGACGACGGGAGATTCCCCCATAGTCGGCATGCTTGGTATCTTCGTCACATTACTGTCACTACTGCTTCCTGCCCTTTCTGTTTCATGCGGTCCACGGACGGTAAAGTCTAGATGTTTGTTTCCCATGCGGATCCCGCGTTTACAACTGAGGAACTGAGCGATCGCTGCGGTAGCAGTTCCTTGAACGCTGTTTTCTCTGCGTTCTAATCTTCGCGATTAGAAACATCATTCGAATCCTTCGAGACAACGACGAGAAGTAGTACGGTTCTCGATTGCTGACTCATCATCGTGTGTCTAGCGTCTTCGCTTGTGATCGGAAATAAGAAGCCGCAGACGGGAAACACTTGGCAAACGAATGAAGCGAGACCATCAATAAATGGAGTTGTTCCCCTTGAAACCACAACATTGCTTCTTCGATCGGATTCCCAGCGATTGAAAGAAATGAAGGCATCGGCGATGGAGAATTTCTACACGATCAGGTTCCGGTCGGACGCAGAGAACAGCATTCCGGGGGATTATGCAGCAGAATTTCTTCTTGAGAATGTGCATTAGGATGAGGGAATATTTTTCCATCCACCATCGATTCACGATCCCACCAATCACTTTGGAGAGCCCGAATTATTGAAAAACAGGATCGCCGATTCCGAGTTCACTTGGGATTGTACGCCAGCGTTCCACCAATTTCCATGCATCTCGCCCTTGGCAGTACCGGTGGATGAAGATTGTGGTACGTGTTACTAGAATCAACAACGTTTAGTGGCTACGGGTCTCGTGGTTGTTATCGTTACACGAACTGCCCACGGCGAATACTGGCATTCGACCACATCAGAACAGACTGGACATCGGGCCGATCGTCCGAGAGTCCGGCTCTTTGGTCGCTGTCGGTTTCGCCGGAGGCGAATCAATGTCAAGGACGGCGCCGTCTATTAGTTTGCTGTGTTTTCGGCGGCCTTTGGCAACAAGCACATGAGCTGGTCGCTTCGGGAACCAGTGTCCAAAGAAAGCGGCCAAGCATCCGGCACCAAGCGTAGGACCCGCCGTTTATCAGCCCCAGCACAAGATCAAGTTCTCCGAACACGTAATCAACCAGAATTCGCGGGCGGCGGGGAGGGCTCTTAGCCAGCTCGCCTTACGGACAACAACCGCAGTCACCATTCGGACTGGGGAGTGTATTCCTCGAGGGTGTTTCTGAAAATGCGGGGATTTGGTGCGACCGCATTTCAAGACCCAGGCAGAATTACAGGATAGCGGGTCGTCCCAGAGGCGTGCCGAAAGTTGTGTCTTCAGTGGTTTGGCTGCGGTTTGCCGATGGCGCTAGACAGAGGCTGCGGGTAGATTCTCCGAGAATCCCCACAGGATCCCTTCCCTTTTTCCACGGAGCTCGGAGAACCCGTCGGAGTTCCGCGAAAATCGGATATGCCCCGACTGGAAAATCTGAATGCCGAGGATGCCCTCGGGAGGGTCTGTTCCCGGAATAGGTATTCCATATCGGAAAGTTGTTGTTCGCCGCGGATGAAACATTCCGAAGAGCGCGGAGCCAACGCCTGATAAGGGAACGAGTTCCCCGCTTGTCGTGAGTCCCAACATCATGCGAATCGTCATTATCGTGGCTAATTCTACGAAGTGAAATTGATTCCGCTATCCACGGCGGCGAATGGAACAGGGAGAAAACACGGGAGGGAATAAAAACTGGTTCCGTCGCTCCGGCCGGCCCAAGTGAGCTCATCGTCGGATCCGATCAAGGTGATCCACTTGAAACGAGTATTCGTGTTCGAGGGGAATAATTTTTCACTACACGTGCTTTAACGTCTGTAACTCGGTCTTTCCGGAATGCAATACTATTTTTCCGCTATCGATCCGGATTCCTGAAGACGTACAGAGGCGACACTTAACGTTTGGCTTTGTTTCACTTATCAAGCTCTGACCATCCCGTCGCCTCAAACGGGACCGGAGAGTTCTCAACGCTCCCGTTTACTCACGCCGACGTAGATTACGGCGGAATCTTCTTCAATTTCGTTTCTTTTCGTCCATTTAGAAAAGAAGAGAAAAGTTTCGATGATTCTGAACGGAAATTCCGGCACGCCCATGGGACAAGGAAAAATTCCGTCCAATCGCCGTGTTCAAGCTGTGGTTCTGATTTGCTCGCTTGGCTTCGTGCGGCGGGAGAGAAAGGGGGAAAAACTAACGGGAGAATGAGGGGAGCCTCGTTCATCGGGAACACGGAAATCAATCGCAGTCAAAATTGAGGCGGATTTTACCGAGACAGTGTCGATTCTGTCTGACGCATCGGACAGTCACGCATCAGACAAATTCGACCGAATCGAAGCCGTATGCGCTCGGGCATATTTGAAGCATACAAAGCGATCGGTAATCGCTCCTGAAGGCTCAAATTGCTAGCTATTGTGCTTTGTCTGATGTGGAGTGAAAGATGCCGATGGTGGCAACGCCGGAACTTCACTTCAAATTTAAGGTCCCGACATTGAGCTCCGCGATGCGCTTTCGCATCTCGGGTCCTCAGCAAACGAGACAAGGCTTTGCTGAGCCCGCCCCAAATAATTCGATATCGAGCACCTTGCGGTCCTCGTACGACCAGAGTTCCCTTGCATATTGTATCCGAGCAGGGAGCTAAGTTTCGTCCGTTGAGGAAACCCGCACTCATTGTCTCGCGATGGTCATTTCCCGCTTGTCTTGGCGATTACGCTTTTCTCGATCGAATGATCTGGATTTCTGCTCTATTCCGAGTCGCTCCACCGCGATCATTTTTCACGAATTCCCTAACGCTTGCATTTCCCCCGTCGCGT